GAGGAAGCGGTGGAGCCGTGATCCAAAACTATGACGAGCCCCCGCCAGCGGCCCAGCTTGTGACAAAGGGATGGCTCCGGCCATTGGTGACACCTTCGCACACCTCTGTGCTGAAGGCAGCCGAAGGAAACACCGTGACAAGCGAGGGCAAGCTGGCTCGTTCGTGGGCCTCCTCTGCCTGGAGGCTCAATTGCGCAGTGCAGGGTGATGCTAAACCTCACCTCCAGGCTGGGACCCCAGGATGAAGGGCAGAATAACGTATTCACACAAAGCAGGGAAATGTTATCCCACAGAAGAGGACGCTAGCTGTAAAAACTGATTCTTTTGGCAAGAAGTAACAGGGACTAGCTGAGAAATACGACTTGATCTGCCCTGACTTCTCCTGGCAAGACTGACTATGCAATAGTCAGGTGTACGACACTTTTTTTCTCTATGCAGGGCAGCGATGTACAGTGGTTGAATGCAGCTCTATCACAAACAGTGGAAACCGACACAAGCAATTAGATGACAAGCGATTTTATTTTGCAAAACAATCACTATACAGCAACAAATACAATTGCAAATCGGATTGAAAAACATGAACTACCTACCACCAGCCATTCAAGAAATGCCTCTTTTATGGTAACAGGCTCTAGAATTATCAGAAAAAACACAGGTTTGTAACAGCAGATTGTATTCCTTGACATCCCAGCATACAGCATGTTTATTTATTGGCTTTTTCTCTTTGCTAAAGTTGAAGTGGCTTTTATATGCCTGACTTTTCCAAGTGTGAAACTAATTTACCTTCCTGCAGCGGGAATTGCTGGAGTTGCAGAGGGAGTTGCTTTAGCAATCTGACTAGTGAGTGAGCTCAGCATGCACCTGGGCTAGAAATCTACCTGCATCGATTTTCACAGCAGATGTGATCTACTCTTCAAGGCGTTTGCCTTCGAAGGGACATTTGTACTTGGGTTTTAAACAGTATTTGGTCCAGCATGGAAAAGACTTCTGCTCACATGTGGTAGTCCACACAGGCTGCCTTTCGACTCCCTTTGGGTCGTGTATATAGGCAAACTTAGATTTGTAAGCAGTCACGATGAGGTTACTACTGTACCTTAGCAGAGCACTGAATGGATAATACCATTTACTGCTGTACAGTGAAAATATACATAGCCCTTGTGGCCACACAATTTCCCTCATCGGTATTAGTTTCTCCTTTACTGTTGCTGGACAGATGTTTGCTCAACTTTGATTTCTTTCTGCTTGTGGTTACATAGAAACAGAACTCTGCAGATGGGGCAGAAGCACTTTTTCTTTTGTCTCTACAACCTGATGGATTATTAATTTGGGGCTCTCCCCTAGCTATCCAAACAAGGTTTCACCATTCCTTTTGTCTGGATTATCTCTGCTTTGTTACAGAGTTGGGTCTCAGGCACCCAACGTACCTGCTGGCTCAACATGCCTGTGGAAAAGAAACAGAACGGATGCAGTTTCCAGGAAACTGGCTCTATCTTCTTTAGTGGGCATTACATATTTACAAAACCGTTGTTTTTGAAACCAACACTCTTCTTGAGAAGTTAAGATTAGTATGAGCTTTTTCAGTGAACATCTAGAGTCATGTAACATAACTTTTTTTTTTTCTTTTTTTTATTTAACAGCACAAAACTCTTGATTTCTTTTCATCTAACTCCACAGCGTTCTAGGATTCTTTCTATGGAAGGATGATTACGATTACAAAGGTCTTTGCTTGAATCAAGACAAGAAAGCTCATTTTAATGCATGAAATAAATGACTCGGTGTGTTACACCACTCTAACTTTGGACTCATAGGTGGATTAACTAAGCTTCATTTTCTAGAGTATGTCAATTTTAAAAGCAGAATAAAAAAACTTGAGTCTCAGGCTAAGTCTGTTCTCCCTAGCTGGTGTTCAGCTACAGAGAAGCTGAGGTTCAGTAGTACCATAGACTCTCTCCCACATTGGCAAAAGGCATAAAAAAAAAAACCAACACTGCAAGGCTAATTTATACTAATTGACGGTATGATCAGAGCAACTTGATATAAACACCGTTTTGTTGGTTTTTCTTTCCGTCTGTCGTTTTTCTGGAAAAACGGGAAGAGGCTTTTAATGCACCTCCCTTGACACTGTTTCCGTGTGAATTCTTAGGATTACTCTAAGCAAAAGTACAACAAATACAAGGCAGAAATCAGAATCCTCCAGATACACTTAGCTTGGTTCTAAACTCACTGTCCTATGTATAAAACAACCGACTTACAAACAGTATTAGGTACTTTATAGTGTGAAAAAGCTTTTTGCAGGGCTGAAGTGTCATGTGTGGGGCTGTTAGGAGTTCATCTTCAGTAAAATTTTTAGAGATGTAACCATTTTCTTTTGTGTTTGTACTGCTGTGACAGCTTCGCCAAAATCCCCCTTTGGTCCACTGAATATTTACTGTCTAGTAACTGTGCATTTACTACCTGAATTTAATGATGGGGAATCCTGTGCTCTTACTAGAATCCTTCTCCACAGACATAAAAATCTTCTCTATGAGTCTTTTCAGATCAAACCCCAACACACGCACGCACACATACAAATTAAGAAGGAAAAAGAACAGATCAAAAGCTTCCAACACACAATGTTAACCTAATACATGTATCAAGTATAGCTCAACTGACAGTGCAAAGTTTAGTTAAGAGACTTCAAAAGGAAAAGATCAAAGAATCTGCAAGAATGTAAACTGGTCATTTCATAATGTCTACTGTACATATAGTATTAGCAGATTATTATCCGCTGATGAGTAATACTACCATATTACCTTCAGTGTTCTCTTAGTGTCCATAAGATAGTGCCGGAGTTCTCACAGGTAACTCCGTTAAGATTGGTTGTTTATGTATCTCTGCCCTTTATCTTTTATGCACACTTTTTCTTATACTTTTTATAGTCAATATAATCCCGCTTTGCTCAGATTTTAAGATGCCCTATTTATTGATGAATTGCTATAGCAACCCAGTCTAGGGAGCTCATTTTATTTATTCACGTACTATAACTTACAGGCATCTCTGTTACATTTAGCACTGTTATCTAAGTGCCTGAGTGTATATGCAAGACATCACTGAAGGAGTGGAAACAACATCTTAATACTTTTTTCTGTGTTTCAACTTTAGCAAAAGAAAAAAATAAATAAATCTAACGTTCACTGTTACTACAGGAGTTTAAAAAAAAAAAAAAAAGAAAAGAAAAAAAGCCAGAACCGAACTATTGCGGATTTTTAAAAAATCCAGAATCCAAACTCAGCCATCTTTGGAGACCCTTTTACAAACATCTGGACCCCACAAAAATCATACCTTTGTGAAGAAAGAGAGGGAAGGGAAGAGGGAAGGAATCCTTTTTCTAGCATCACAGAAGAGACTTGCATCTGGCACTAAAACAGGGTCACGGCTTTTAGTTGTTACAGAAAGCAACTTCATGCTAAAATTTTCATCGTTTTTAAATGTATTGTTATGAATAGGGAAAAAAAACCCTGCTAACATCTACTTTTACATACCTAAAATTGCAACACCAAAGGGTGCAAGAGACACAGATACTGTGAATAAAGAAGTAGAATATTCAAGTATATGAGGAGGGCGTATCACAAATGGCCACAGAGAAATATATATATCTATAATACTGTATCAAACAGATGGAAAGGATGTGAAACCGGTGGTGCGTACACAAATCTAGCCGCTTAACCAACTTTCTAATCAGACAAGTCCATTGGGGTGGAAGTGCTTGCTTTCAACAGCTTTTTTACGTCACTTCCCCAAGCATGGTTCCAATGTTTTCAACTACTATTTTTAGTTATTAGTTAAATAATTTATTGGCTTTTCAGCTATACACTGACATAATTAACCAGGTTCAAAAAAATGTTAATAACTTAATGCAACTTTTGTTCTACTCATTTATACAAAATAACACTTTTTTTTTTAATTAAACTTGAATTTCTGTATACGCCCTTTCTCCTGGTAAGCAGACTTTTAATTTAACCTGTAATAACTTACAATGGGCAACTTTTCTTTTTTTATTTCCCCATCTATCAACAGAACAGTGAAATGAGCAACTTGGGGTATTAACAAGGCTCTTCAGAAAGAGGTGGCTGGCCTTCAGGCACATGAAAGGTAAAAATGCATTTTATCATAGTACAGTACTCCATGCAAGACAGAGCAAGAGCAACAATAATTGTCCAATGTAACATACTGCAGTTGTATACCCATATAAAGCCAGTGTCTTCCTGTTGTAAATGGAAATCAGGCCAATTTCTGCATCTATTTATTTTTTTTTTTCTGCTTTTTTAACTGTATGGTAACTACAAGTCTTGGGACGTGACTTAGTTTTAGACATGGTAAAGAATGAATGTAACACCTGCTCTGAGCCCATTCCTGCCAAGAGCTCATGCCTAAATATTATTACTTCATACAACGCGAAATGAGCAAATTCATAAGCCCTGCTTAGCAAGGGCTGCTGTGACATCTTCAGCGAGGGTAGCAAGCTGGGGCGATTCAAGCAGGTTGATGCTTCCAGAGGATGAGACGTTGCTGAGTCTGCGTGGCGAAGCCACGCTGGACCTGCCTGGTGACTGCGTGATGATCTCAGCCCCGTGATCGACACGGGCTTTAGCGTGCTCTCTGAAGTTTAGCTTCTGGCTGTCAATCTGCTCCAGGAAAGCAAAGAATTTAACACATTATATATTCACCAAATTATCTCATTATAGATCATCATTTGGGTCTCATTTTGTTTACTTTTAAGAACTCTTACAAGGATTGAAGCTTCTGCACTCCTTAGAATAATAGAAACTGAAGATTTTTTCACTTTGTTTAATATACATTGGCTTACTATGCTACATTCTCTTACTATTTCTGTCTCTGATGGATGCCTTCATGAGCAGTACCATTGTTCCTAGTATGAATTTAATAGACATTTTATGGGCATTGCGATTTGTTTCTGAAATCTGTTTTTTCAAATGTTTGTGGAGTGATCTTACTTTCAAGATGTCTTCCTCCTGTTTCACAAAGCAGTCCTGATCCTCTGGGATACCCGTACTACAAACTTATTAGCTCATACCCATGCTGTACAATGGCCCCAAACAAGGTTTTTCTTCAGGGGGAAAGCCAGTGCACAAACCACGGGATGTTTCACTTTAAGATTCACTCTCAGCTTAGATGTGGATGTGAGATTGGTCATTCCAAATTCCAAAGGGAGCAAATGGCATGTGAGTGCGCTCAAAGGAGAACAAACAGATGTTTCCTACTCAATTCAGAGCCATCACTGAATGCACAGCTCTGATAACTTCACTGGGCCAGGGGCACAATGGTAGCCTTTTCTCTGACAGCTGTCCCCTTACCTTGACATTACCACCGCCAGGTACGTGGTGGGCATTTTCCAGTGAACCAACTTTAGCCTGAGCTTTTTCTTTGAAATCCAGTTTCACGCTCTCAATTTTCACACGCCCACCTCCTACACAGAAAAAGGAAATACAGATTAAGAGACTGGAATCGCTCAGGAGAAAGTCTGACCTGATGCACACGGGTGCACTCACGTTACTTCCCTTTTAGTTGAGATCTAATGGTTTTAGAGAACCACAGAATATCACGCTGCATGTTCAGTAAAATACAAAATCTTCAACGCATATTCAAACTGTAAGTATATGCTGCAGCCTTACTCATTTTCATGGGATTTAAGCATATGCTCAAGTATTTTGCTGACTTTAGTTTGCATTTCAGTATCTTATCAACTGACATTATGCCACAGCAGCATCCTTCTGCACTTTTTTTATCAACTCTCTAAACTAGGTGGTCCCATACCTTTATGTCTTTATGTATTTAGTTAAGTAGAGTTATGAATATTATTTTTATAACCAAAGTGTATTTACTTTCTCTTGGACTATAAAATAGAATGGTATCGTCCATGATTTCTCCTTCACGTAACAGGATTAGGACTTTGCTTTGTCCCACATCCCAGAAATTCCTACAATACCTGGCTTGTGGTGGATATTCTTGAGCGAGCCACACTTGGAAGTCACATGACTCAAGTCAATCTTCTTGGTTACGATTTGTACCTGTCAAAAGCACATATACACACACAATTACAGGAATGAAAAGAATAAAATAAATAAAAAGCCAAGCCTTGCAGAGGAAGAGCCCAAGCCTCTACAAACCACTGGAAAAGGAGAGACTGTTAGTAGAAAACAGACCATGCCACAACGGAGGAAACACCTGGATTAATGCAGCAAGCTTCCTTCCCACCTAGGGAAATGACAGAGCTGGGTTAAGCTTTACTATTAGCAAAACGAAGAGGAGGGCAAAGCAGATCAGCTTGTGGGTTCTTTCTAAAATGTTTCTGAGCCTCCTCTCAGGGTGGATGCTCCAAAGCCCTGCATGCAGCAGGACCCATCCCGTTTGCTGCTGCTCTTGAATGTGCATCCTGGCAACTAGGAATATTTCAGTGACTGCTTTTTTCCTCTACCATCTGTTTCTTTTTTTTTTGCATCTAAATATGGTATCCATTTCAGCTCAATACACTATGGAGAGTCTGATGAATCTACAAACATGACTCCTGCAGCTGTACCTGAGCTGGCTGGTGTTCAGCCAGCCGGCTCGGTGGTGCTCACCGGGTAGCAGTGGCACCGCTCTGCTCAGCCAGGCAGCAGCACAGGCACCCTCCCTCCTCCTGCTGCTGGCCGCGTTGCCATGACTGTGCTGAGCCCAGCTCGGGAACAGCCACAGAGCAACACTCCTGCCTTGCTGTGCTCCCAACTAGCTCCCAGATGCAGCCCACAATCACAGTGACTGTGTTTGCAGGTCTTAAGAAGTTGCAGCTCCACCAGGCCAGACAGGAGCTCCAGGATGGCTGCAATGCCACTGGTTTGCTCGCATCACCAGCAATGACTTAAGCCAGCACTGGTGGCTGTACTGAATCTGTTTGGATCAGACGTGCCCACATCGTCAGCTCTTTCATCTGATCATTTCCATTAGAGCCGCCTTAAGCTATTCCAGCGTGCCTGCTAGAACTAACGGGTGTCTGGTCAAGTCCTGAGCAACCTCAGTTTGTTATACTGGAATAATGCTGTGGCATTAGCATTAGCACTCAGCACGCTGGCTGATCACACCCTCTCTCTGAGCTTTCTTTGTCCTTATGTTTTATTTCTCTTCTTCTTCCTCTCAGGTTAGCTGAGGAAGGACTGATGCACTGGAAGATGCTCAACTGTGAGGCTGGAGTCTCACTGTGAGCTGGAGTCTCTTCCTGGAAGTGACTTTCTTGGGCCACTCCCATGAAAAGCACCGAACCATTTTGGCTCACACTGGACTTTTACTGTCAGCACCCTTGGGCGTTTAGAGATAACCCCTCTTTTCTCATTTCCTTTTCCCGTCCAAGTTCTGGAAACGTGCTGTGCTCTGTGGAAAAAGATCAGGAGGCCACCACTGCATACACAGGGCTCACACGACTACCAGACCAGACTCACATGTGAAACAGCAGCGAGAAGGAAAGTAGTGCTCAGAGGAAGGGAGACAGAGGGGTCTGGCTGTGCAAGGTGGGTCAGCACAGTGGAGATGCCTGGTCACAGGGTATCTGTACTACTTACATTTCCTCCCCCTGCAGAATGTTTGATGTTATCTCTGGAACCACACCGGGACTGAATATCGCTAAAATCGATCTTCTTGTTTAAAATCCTAACCTAAAAGGAATCGGAGGTAACTTACTATATACCATACACACACTCCACCGGGGTGCAGGACAAGGGAGCCAGGGTAATTTTTCCTCCTGGCGTGACTCCTTCTTCTGACACTTGTATTGAAATCTGAGAAAGTAAACCACGCCAATCTCTATGCTCAGTATGTTAACACAGCATATGTAAATGTACTATACTGCTCTTTTTTCTACCTCACGAAGTGGTGGTGAAATACAAAGGGGAAAGTTTTTATGCTGGGAGATAGAGAGGTGGCTTTTCCCTGAAAAGCTCGAAGAACTCCTTGCTTGCCTGGACTGGACATAGTCTTGGACAGCCTGTCCTAGGCTCTCTTGAGTGATGGACAGTGTTTCTGCTGAACTGTCCACAAGGAAAAGATGGAAACCCTCCTTCCCACAGTTCAGCACTCCAGCCTTTAACGCAGAAATCCCAGATCCAGCCAGCTCAGGCATGGGTTGAAATCCTGAGGTATTTTGCCCCTCCTTCTGCCATACAGCCATAACAGCAGCTACATTCATACAGCAGACCTCAGAGTGTCCTGTGAAAGGGGACTGACAAAATCAATTAAACTGAAGTCAGAGCTCTCTACTGCTCTCTTTACTGTCATTTACTAAAGGGCAATGCAGAAAACAACAGTATCTGGAAACCTATGGCTGCAATCACTGCTTCTTGACTTCTGGTGCTGGCCATAAAGTTAGTCACAACAACTTTCTGGTGCTAGCAGCACTATGCTTCTCCCCTGTGCTCCTTGTTTCTGGCAGAACAAGTACCCAACTTTCCCTTGATGGTGCCAGCCTCCCTTACAGATTCCGGGAGCCCACATTTTTCTGTGTTACCTTTGCCACAGATGCACAGCAGGCGTATGACAGTGCCTGGAGGTAAACTCTGCTGTCCCGTCCTTGACCCCCATCTTGACCCCCATGTCAAAGCAGTTCCTCCACCTGGCAGAACTCAGGTGCCACTAATGATTGTCCTCCCAGGGAATGATGTGCTGCTGGATGGCAGTTACCAGTAGGCAGGGACAACTGTGTGCAGGGCACACACCTGAGTGACACCGCTTCCAGACTTCTTTCTGAGCAAGGGCAGGGGATTGTGCTCATTAGTATTAGGCTTTCCAGGTGTGTGAGAAGGCATTTCTGGCCAAGGCTGCACCTGCCTTCTTTGCACCAGGACCTTTATTTACTCAAAGACTGCTACCCATGCAGCATATTCTTTCTCTGGGTTAAATATGAAGTCTTTATTCAAATGTTATGTTGGATTTTATTTATCTCTACATTATTAATATAAAATATGAATTTACAGAAAGCCACAGAATTTTGGGCACTATCTATTCGTTTTGCTAAATGGCACTTGTACAGCCTTTACTGGCATATTACTTAGCACAGTCCTGTTGGCTGCTGTTGTAGGTAAACCTACAGTGACTAACTGATACTGAGACAAGAGAGAGGGACAGATATACTGGGGTACCTTACTGCAGCTTCTTACCACTCCAGGAACACCAAGCAGCTGCAAACCAGCTGAAGTGGTCTGTGGGAGGAAGAACCACCCTGTGCAGTTTCTGCTTCCTGGCTTCAGGTCTTCAGACTGCTCCAGGCTCCCTGATAAATCTGAGACAAATCACTCCCTCTGTGCCTCACCTCTCCAAACTAGGAAAAGACTATTTGCCCCCTTACAGGGATATTAGATTTTGCAGCTCTTGGCTCCTGCAGTGGTGATAATGTCACATTTTAGATAACAAGTCAAATCCTCTGGCACTGAGCACCTGGACTGCACTCTTGACTTAAGCCCAGTAAACTCCAAGAAGAAATTTTCAGAGGGCCACACTTTGCAGCTGATATGAAGAATTTCTTCACAGCAAGCTGTTTCATGCATCCCCTTTATTACATATAACGTAACCACTACATCAGTCAAACCAGTAGGATGTTAAGTGTTTTCTTGCTTAATAGGTAAAGATCTGTGGTGATGCTCAGCAATAAGGCTGATGACAGCACCAGAAAACACCACAACCGGTAGGTCACCTTCAGAAGGGCATCTCTGATAGGCAAACTGACTTCTGTCTTCTTCTCTCCTATCGGCTTAATCTGTCCAAGTAAACCAATGTACACTGAAACATGAAAGAAAATGCCTTTAGAGTTTTATGCTTGTGCTTTCTCTCAATATACGATTTGTTTAAAAATGTACCCCAGTACTATACAAGACAGGTGTCAGATCAGTTACAGAAAGACACGTCAGATGTGCAGTCAGATCTGGCTCCCAGAGAGCTTCAGGCCAGACACAACTGGGCAAAACAGAAAGCCTTCCTAGCACTTTCTGAGCACATCTCTCTCAGCAATGGATCAGCAGCACCTCTTAGCAATGGCCACAGGGATGCATTTGTTCTGCAAATGCTAACTTAGGGGTCATGACAAGACCTCAGCGCTGTGGACTGAGGGCCTGTAGCTTAAAAATGGAGCCAAAGCAAGGTGGTAAGTTGAGAGGGTGCCTTTGGTCAAGTGCCTAAAGGTTGATTTGCACCCGGAAGTCTGACAGCTTATGAGTCTCATGGCCCATGGACCTGGCTAGCAGATATGTAAAGGACCAATCACCTCACGTATTCTCTCTGTCTCACTGGGTGAAATGGGCCCCTGTGTAGAGATTTGTGTCCTATGCTGAGGGCTGAAGTGAGCTGAGTGATGTGAATGTGTTCTGCTGGTCATCTGGCACAGGGAGGAACTGCACTGATCCACGTTTTCCCTGATGATCTGTTTCTCCCTTTCCTGGAATATATCAATACCCCTGCACATATTTAAATCATGACTGCCCTCTATAACTAAGTGTTTCACAAACTAATGGAGCCTTGTTTCCTATAGATTAAGGCTTTGAACTGCTTAATCCCTCCATCCTACATTCTTCAGCAAGCCCTATCACCTCTTGCCAGCAATATCTCCCAAGCTTTCTCCCAGGTCTGCTAGACTGGGCAAATAGAAGCCAATACATAACGGGCCAGCTGTTTGTTGTCTCTGATTGTGGAGAAGGGGCTGAGTTATCACTGCCTTTCCCCCAATGACAGTGTTTTGCCGAGTCTCTGTTTCATATCCAGTCAACAACTACCACCCAACTTGGAGGGACGGCCTGTGTTTCTAACCACTGCTCCCTTGCCAGCACTGGTTGAAATGGGCCAACAAGTTACAAATGAGTTAAGGAAGGCTGAGACTGCCAGCCAGACAGCATGACTGCACGACCTTTGTTTCCTTTGGGAAATCAAACTGTAAACATCAGAGGGAGAGTACCAAAGAGGGACAAGAACCATTTAGTCTAAAGAGAAGCTTTGGCTTGCAAACAAAGAACGTAAACTGACTGTGAATTATTTGAAGCTGGAATCTAGATGGAAA